TTGAATTTGTTCATTCCAAATCATTTCTACATCGAGATATCAAGCCAGACAACTTCCTCATGGGCTTAGGAAGGCGTGCAAACCAGGTTTTTTTTTTTTTTTTTTTCCTTTTTGAAATATATTGATCGTTTGTGACTTGTTTTCATTTTCTATTTTGATGCTTTAGCTGACATTTACTTGCCTATAGGTCTACGTCATTGATTTTGGTCTGGCTAAGAAGTACAGAGATGCCACAACACATCAGCATATTCCTTATAGGTCAGTCTTCTGTAATAGTTTAGAAAATGAATTGCTTTGCTTTCGGTTGTTATTTATCTGTTTGTTTATTTATTTAAAGGGCATGCTGCTTATTAAGTCTTGCTGGTATTTCTTTTTAGGTTAAAACCCCTATTTGGTCCCTCAACTATTGTACGGGCCCCCAATTTGGTCCCTCAACTATTGTACGGGCCCCCAATTTGGTCCCTCAACTATTGTATGGACCCCTGATTTGGTCCTTACTGTTTACCAATTTGGCCCCAAGTCGGTCCTTCTGTTAAAAAATAGCTGACATGTCCATTACTTAACAGCAAAAAACTGTTACTTAACTGCCACATGTCACATTAATAATGAGACACATCATCTGCTTGAAGGACCAACTTGGGGCCAAATTGGTAAACAGTAGGGACCAAATCAGGGATTTTTTTAGTTCAGGGACCAAATCAGGGGTCCGTACAATAGTTGAGGGACCAAATTGGGGATTTAACCTTGTTTTTAAGTCATTTCTGTGATAATTTGGCTTCATGCTGCTGGGCCCACGTTTATGTAAAATAGTTGGTGGAATCCGTGTCATACTATGCCCACTTAATGCCTTAAGTGCTGTGAGTTATTGTTTTCTACAGGACAGTAATGTTTTCTTTGGGTTTAATCTTCCCACTGCCTCCAGCATGCCTAAATAGTTTTTTTGAGTCTAGCTTGGTAGGCTTGAGAAACATTATATTGTGTTTATACTGATCCTGTTCTTGCTAATACATGTCCATGTCTAGTTAATCTGTCTTCATTTTTCCTTTATTAATGTCAAATATATAAATTTGTGAAATTTTATTCATTATACTGGCATTGTGTGGTTATAATTTTTATTGACAAGTTTTGTTCCAACTTATCCTGGGTAGGGCTATTTAACCTCCATGTAACTATTCTGCATAGAACAAGGATTCCTTCGTTATCTTTATTTGGAATCTTGTTTTGATATAACTACAGTGTTTATATATAGCATTTTTTGTATATTTTGGTCTAGATCTTAAATTATTTATGCTATTTGTTAAAATTACAGAGAAAATAAGAATTTGACAGGAACTGCAAGATATGCAAGCATGAATACTCACCTTGGGATTGGTATGACAATCATGTGTCCTATTCAGTCTCTTTTGTGTTTTTGTTACTTCTCATTATTTCAGAAGAGTTTAGACTCCTAACACTTTGCTCTCTTGCTGCATATAGAACAAAGCCGTAGGGATGATCTAGAATCACTTGGATATGTCCTTATGTACTTCTTGAGGGGAAGGTAATTATACCTAATCCACCAACGTATATCAGATTATTCTGCTACATGATATCTTTAGTTATGATCCATGTCTTTGTAGTCTTCCCTGGCAGGGTCTAAAAGCAGGAACAAAGAAGCAAAAGTATGAGAAGATTAGTGAAAAGAAAGTATCAACTTCTATTGAGGTAAATCCCTGATTAAAGCTTTCTGATGCCAACTATACCTTTCGTAGAATAAGCTGACTGGAATGCTCTCTGCCTTCTCTTTAGGCACTGTGTCGAGGTTATCCTACAGAATTTGCATCCTACTTCCATTACTGCCGGTCTCTTCGTTTTGATGATAAACCAGATTATGCTTATCTGAAGCGCCTATTCCGTGACCTTTTTATTCGCGAAGGTTCGATTGTTACTGCCTGCATTCTTTCTCTTTGTAAAAGACATTTTTTCTGGTACAAGAATTATGATTATTATTTGTTCTCTAGCCCTGTAAGTAATCCCAAATTTGCGATAAGTCTGCTATTTGTTTATTTTCTTATTACTTCAGGTTTCCAGTTTGATTATGTGTTTGATTGGACAATTTTGAAGTATCAGCAATCCCAAATTGCCTCTCCTGCTCCCCGTGCACTTGTAAGTGATTTAACCTAAGTAGTTGTGTCTTGTTTTCAACCTAGCACCTGTGCAAGTAATTGAGTAGGCATTTTTCTCTTTTAAACAGGGTGCAGGACCAAGCTCTGGCATGCCCCCTACTGGTGCCATTGTGGATAGGCAATCAGGTAGCTATGCATTTATTTTAATTTTCATTCTGTTTGGTATAGCTGGAGCTTATGTTTTAAGTTCCGTTTGAGGGAATCTGTTAGAGAATTTCTGTTGCGAGAAGTTAAAAACTGTTTGGCAAAATTTTTTACGGAATCACAGAAATGGTGCATCTTCAATTCTTCAATGCATATGTTTTAAATTGCTTGTGAAAAAGTTAACAAGACCTTTTAATTAACTGTGTTAGTGTGGTGTGGTGTGCAAACTTCTCCTAGAATATGGGTTTTTTAGAGCAAACTTTTTTATCTATGTGCTGTATTTTGTGATCTAGTCTCTAATGTGTGAGACTTATCCTTTTAATTTCAAAATTCTCTTGTGGAGAAAAGATAATTAAGATTTTTAAAATCCAAGCCATAAATGCATCAAGAAAAAGAAAATATATTAGTGCATTAAGTTAATTCCTTTTTGGGTAGGTTAATCCAACATGTAACTAAATTTAACAAAGAAAAGGAAAAAAAATTTTGTAATCTGCAAAACGTTACGTATTCTTTTAATCCAAGCTTGTTGAACAGTGTCCTAACATTTTTCAACCAAAAAAGAGGGGAAAAGAGAGAGAGAGAGAGAGAGAGAGTTGAAGACAAGAGGTTGTAACGCCCGTGTTTCTTTTCTTTTTCTTTGCAACAGCTGCAGAAGAAGGGAGACCTACTGGTTGGTCTTCCACAGATCCCTCTCGTAGAAGGCACTCTGGACCAATTGTAAATTCTGGAAGCTTAGGTAAACAAAAAGGTCCAGTGGCAAACGATCCTCCCCTTGCTAAAGATGTGGTGAGTAGCAGATTGCCTGTTTGCATATCTTCCCAGACAATGCTTCTGCAGTTCTGCATATGAATTGAGCTTATACTGCTTCCTTCTAAAGTTCTAATATTAATTGTAAATTATGTTGTAGCAGTAACCATTTATCCTGGAAATAAATTTTAGGTGCTAGTATTGATGCTTTTGTGTTTACTTATATTTGGTCTTCAGTGTGTGAAGACATTTTGTTGAAGCTTTTGCTTTTAAGAATACTCCAGGGAAGTGGGGCTTTTGTTTTGCTAGTGAACCTGCATTCTGTGCTACAATCAGATTATTCTTATTTCCCTTCCCCCATTTTCTCTCCTCCTTTAAGATTTTGTAATTTTGCTGTTTTTGGATTTGGGCTGCATATTTTTAATGTATTTCTTTGACTTGTTCAGGTATCTAGTTCCAGTTTTTTGAGGTCAACTGGATCTTCAAGGCGAGCTGTTGTCTCTAGCAGTCGTGATCCAGTAATAATGGCAACTGAGTCAGACCCACCTCTCACCCGCATCACTGATGCTAGCCCAGGAACACTCCAGAAAATCTCTAGTGGACAAAGAAGCTCGCCTGTACTATCATCAGAGAACAAACACTCATCTTCTGGTAGGAACACATCAAACATAAAGAATTTCGAGTCCACTCTCAGGGGGATTGAAAGTCTGCAATTTCAATAATGATGAGAGGTACTATTAGAAGACAATGGCCTCAAATTCTTGTCCCCTGTATATTTGAAAGAAGGTATGCGTTTTAACGCCCTCCGAGTGAAGTATGTTGTTTGTGTTATCATCTCCGTAGAGAAGTCCTGAATCTGAAACGTTAAATTTGCAAGTGAGGCAACTGTACTGTAAGTTCTAATAAGGAGATACTGGGATGACTTATTCCCATAAAAAATCAACCTAGGTCAAGTGGTTTTCTCGAAAGTACCTAGGAAGACAGGCTTCTATCTTAATACAGTTTTACATGCCTTATTCAGTCAATTTCTGTTTTATCATATACAGCTCGATTCATGGTTCAAAACTATGTTGGCTTTAAAACATTTTCAACTGGCTCTCGCATAATAGTTGTGAATGATTGCTATGTTGATTAATTTGGGATTTTATGTTCAATAGCTTGCGCATTTGCAACACTGAAAGGGATTCAGAAGTAGGTTTTTATTTTTTTATTTTTAATATACAAATTGAAAAGTAGTAGTTGAAGAAAGATATGCAGTATTCTAGACATTTCAAAAGACATGGCTCAGATTATTATATTTGCTTAGCTTATGGTTCATCCTAACTTTATTTCTATGACTGAGATTGAAGAAATATTTTTGATGGACCTTGTGATTGATAAAAGGATCATGAAGATCATAAGTTATGAAGAAAGCCATTGGCTTTACAAATTCAGTTGAGTAAAATGTTTATTTACAAGTAACCCAGAAAAATGCTGTCATACGCCTTCAATAAAACCTTTGCGAAAAACTTGAGTCCGGCTTGTTTGACTTGAGTCTGGCTTGTTTGGCTTGAGTGGAGAGAGCTTATTGCAACCTATTAAATTAAGAGAAAACTGTTTTATAATAGGTTATATGTAGTTAGTTTTATAAAATTATTTAAATATTTTTAATTTTATTTTTATATTATTTTTTAAAAAACATTTAAATAATTTTACAAGACAAATTATATGTTACACAATTTTTAGTAAAATTAACATGTTGGCTTAGAGAAAAGTTGCAATAAAAATACGAATTTTGTTACTTTTTTCATTTAAAAACGTAATAATAAACTCTTAACTTTTTTTATTTAAAGATATTAAGTTTTTTATTTAAAAATTAATTATAG